TTGCCAGTCTAGACACAGCCTTTGAGCACAAAGAGTATGAAAGAGAAACAACAATAAAACATTCATTAAGGGGGTACTATATTCAAACTGGACTTTTTATTTGCCTTTAAGAAGCCTTAAAAAGAATGTGTTGCATATTGCCATGAATTTGGTGGTGAAGAAAAGGGGGAAATAATCAGTTTTGGGTTGGTTTTTTGGGGAGGTTTTTTTTGGGGTTTTTTGGAATCTCACCATTTTGGTTCTGTATTATGTCCAAGCTAATTGGCAAAGTAACAATTTCTTAAGCTAAACATTAAAAAGGCAACGTCATGTATCACAATCTATCTTGACATTTTTAAAGCGCTGTTTTTCTCTGGCGTTTCTATTCAATATTCTATGTATTATTAACTAACCTCTGAAAAAAATAAAGATCACTCCTTTCAGACTCAAACTGTGAGCTGGATTCAGTCACTCTTACTCATGCAGAGCACTATCTTTTGTATTACCATGAATAGTATTGCAGAAACAAAAAGATGCATTTTAGTAATGAAAAATGCACTTCTATATACTCCTTATTTTACATTACAGTAAAACCTAATTAATTCTCACTTCACTGATCCTCAAAACTTTATAGTCTCACAAAAGAATTAGCCTTCTCTACTGCCTTCTCAGAAAAGATTAATAGTACGTTCTATAAAAGCCTCATATACCTAAGATTTCATTACTTGGGCTTTATCTAGAGTTCTTAGTTTGTCTATACTGGCCACTTGAATTTGCGCAAGAGCACTGACTTTGTAATGTATTTGCGCAAATACTCTCATGCTCCTGCTCGGGAAAAAGCCCTCTTGCACAAGAATACTTGCGCAAGAGGGCCAGTGTAGACAGGGAAGAATTGTTTTGCGCAAAAAAGCCCCGATGGTGAAAATGGCGATCGGGGCTTTCTTGTGCAAAATCATGTCTAGACTGCACTTTTTGCACAAAAGCATCCGTGCCAATCTAGACGCGCTTTTGCGGAAATACTTTTAATAGAAAAACTTTTCCGTTAAAAGTATTTCCGCAAAATCATGCCAGTCTAGACGCAGCCATTTCTGTTTTCCTGATCACCAAAGAAGGCATACCCAGGTTAATTAAGACACTTGGAGGTGATCAAGAACTTGCTAGAACTGGTTGAGACAATTAAGTTGTTTGGAACACCTCTTGCCAATGAAGAGCTATCTGAAACCAGTTAAAAAGCCTCCCCTTCAGTCAGTTCAGTAGCATGCCAGGAGCTGAGGGAGGATGATGTGCTGCTGGAGAGTAGGAACTGTAGAAACACTATCAAGTACCAGGTAGGAACCCTGAAGGTACAGAGGCAAAGGACAGGGAGAGCCCTGCCTTGGGAACAGCCCCTTTGGGCCCTGGGGGATCAGAGAGAAAAGAAACCCTGCTAGAGGGGGAGAGACTGAGATAAGGAGTCTAGTCTGTTGCCTCCACTCAGACTAAGAATTTTCAACTTCCCTTTTCCCCTGCTATGCCAATGATGAAAGTGGCTAAATCAGACTATGGCTTGCTCTGAAGTAAAGAAGCAGTCGTGAGCCACTGAGGCCAACAGATTTGGAGGGAAATACTCAGCCTATTGCTACCAGGAAGCACAGGATCTACCACAGGGGAATAGGATCTTTATAACACACAGCTTGTGATATTAATCACTTGTGTGTCATAGGCTTTGCTAAAACACCTTGCTAGTTACACTTTTTTCATATACAGGCAGTCCCCGAGTTATGCAGATCCGACTTACGTCGGATCCGCAGTTACGAACGGGGCCCTCGCTCACCCTGGTCTCCAGCAGACCAGGGAGAGGAAGCAAAGCGGCAGAACACGCGGGCAGCAGACGGGCTGTCCGCTGCCCGCGTGTTCTGCGGCTTTGCTCCCCGTTCCCCTGGTCTGCAGACCAGGGGAACGGGGAGCAAAGCCGCAGAACACGCGGGCAGCAGACGGGCTGTCCGCTGCCCGCGTGTTCTGCGGCTTTGCTCCCCGTTCCCCTGGTCTGCAGACCAGGGGAACGGGGAGCAAAGCCGCAGAACACGCGGGCAGCAGACGGGCTGTCCGCTGCCCGCGTGTTCTGCGGCTTTGCTCCCCGTTCCCCTGGTCTGCAGACCAGGGGAACGGGGAGCAAAGCCGCAGAACACGCGGGCAGCAGACGGGCTGTCCGCTGCCCGCGTGTTCTGCGGCTTTGCTCCCCGTTCCCCTGGTCTGCAGACCAGGGGAACGGGGAGCAAAGCCGCAGAACACGCGGGCAGCAGACGGGCTGTCCGCTGCCCGCGTGTTCTGCGGCTTTGCTCCCCGTTCCCCTGGTCTGCAGACCAGGGGAACGGGGAGCAAAGCCGCAGAACACGCGGGCAGCAGACGGGCTGTCCGCTGCCCGCGTGTTCTGCGGCTTTGCTCCCCGTTCCCCTGGTCTGCAGACCAGGGGAACGGGGAGCAAAGCCGCAGAACACGCGGGCAGCAGACGGGCTGTCCGCTGCCCGCGTGTTCTGCGGCTTTGCTCCCCGTTCCCCTGGTCTGCAGACCAGGGGAACGGGGAGCAAAGCCGCAGAACACGCGGGCAGCAGACGGGCTGTCCGCTGCCCGCGTGCTCCGCAGCTTTGCTCTGCTTTGCTCCCCGTCCCCCTGCAGACCAGGGGGACAGGGAGCAAAGCAGAGCAAAGCCGCGGAGCACGCGGGCAGCGGACAGCCCAGACGCGTCTGGGCTGTCCGCGTGTTCTGCCGCTTTGCTTCCTCTCCCTGGTCTGCTGGAGACCAGGGTGAGCGAGGGCCCCGTTCGTAACTGCGGATCCGACGTAAGTCGGATCTGCATAACTCGGGGACTGCCTGTAGTGACATTGTATGCAAGCAGCTGATTCAGTTGCTTACTATAGAGGTTCAGATCTCTGTCTTCATAGACCAGATAAAGTTTCTCTTCTTCCCCCTACTTGTTTGCTTGTTAGGTCCGTTTACCTAATATGTAAATGGACCTTCATTGTCTCTGCCTAATGATTGGGCTGGTCAGAGAAGCACACACATTCCTTTGTCTCTAGGGCAAACCTGTTTACCAAATCCCCCCCCACCCCGATATGCTGGTTTAAACACACATTAGTCCTGATTCCAGCATAAAATCATGACTCTCAATACTCATCTGCTACAAATAAGATTACTAATGATCAGTGATTTCTTAGTTTTCCAATGACACATTATATGACACCTTTCAGGGGAGGGACAGCTCAGTTGTTTGAGCATTGGCCTGCTAAACCCAGAGTTGTGAGTTCAATCCTTGCGGAGGCCATTTAGGGATTTGGGGCAAAATTTGTCAGGAATGGTACTTGGTCCTGCTGTGAAAGCAGGGGATGGGACTCAATGACCTTTCAAGATCCCTTCCAGTTCTAGGAGATAGGCAATCTCCATTAATTTCTTCAGATACAGATTATAACAATAGTGAGTTGAGGTATACTGCATTGGTCAGACCATATGAAACTCATTGCTTGATATCAGTGAGCCTCTTTCCTTTGTGAGCCTGGTATGCTCTTAGGGTCACACCCTCCCAGCACACAAATGAACCATCCCTGCTCACCTTATAGAGTGCCACCACATGCACACAACCCTCTGCATCATCTGCCTACTTTCCCCAAACTGCAGTTCCCACCTCCCCCATCTTACAAACCTCCATTCTAGCACTTGCACTTGGCCTAGTATTCCAAATCCCTCACTCACATCTAAGGTCCTATCTGCTGCTTCTCCTCCTTCTCTACTGGAAGAGTCATAGTTCTGGGGACAGGTGGGGAACCAATGGTACCCCAATGGACCACTTCGCACTGAGAAGCAGAATTCCTTCTAGTTCTTGCTCCGCAATGGGCCTTGCAGACAAAATGGAGGAAGAAACTGCTGCTTCTTGTTGATGGTATTGCAGGAAGCAATAGTAGTTTATTGGACCCAGAGGTGATGAATTCACTGGGGCTTAAGCCTGAACCCTATGTGTCAGCTGACAATGGAACCAGCTCTGTACTCTGAGTAAAGACTGGGCAAGAATTTGATCTATAGTAAAATCATAGAATCATAGAACCATAGAGCTGGAAGAGACCTCAGAAGGTCATCAAGTCCAGCCCCCGGCTCTAGGCAGGACCAATCCCAACTAAATTAACCCGGTCAGGGCTTTGTCGAGCCGAGACTTAAACTCCTCTAGGGATGGAGACGCCACTACTTCCCTAGATAACCCATTCCAGTGCTTTACCACTCTTCTAGTGAAATAGTTTTTCCTAATATCCAACCTGGACTTCTCCCACCACAACCTGAGACCATTGCTCCTTGTTCTGCCATCTGTCACTACTGAGACCAGCCTCTCTCCATCCTCTTTGGAACCTCCCTTCAGGAAGTTGAAGGCTGCTATCAAATCCCCCCTCACTCTTCGCTTCTGTAGACTAAACAGACTCAACTCCCTCAGCCTCTCCTCATAAGTCATATGCTCCAGCCCACTAATCATTTTGGTTGCCCTCTGCTGGACCCTCTCCAATGCGTCCACATCCTTTTTGTAGTGGGGGGCCCAGAACTGGACACAATACTCCAGATGTGGCCTCACCAATGCCGAATAAAGGGGAATAATCACTTCTCTAGATCTGCTGGCAATGCTCCTCTTAATGCAACCTAATATGCCATTAGCCTTCTTGGCTACAAGGGCACACTGTTGACTCATATCCAGCTTCTGTGAATATGAAATAGCGCTGCGAAAACCAAAAAGACTTTGCTGTAAGCATGTCCTGCTGTATTTTGCCATCATCTTGTAATTTGCCATTCCCTTGTACAGTCTCTTGACTTAATACATTAAAATCTATTTTGTGCATGACATTTGTGTCTTTTCTTGGCCTTTCTAATTGGTGATACCATGCACAACTTAAAAGGTTGTGGCAGGAAAAAGGACTGCACCGACCTACAGCAAATCAATGTGGCCTACGGGGGGCATTGACCAGTGGAACAGTGCCTCAAAAAAAATCAATATTGCAGGGTGACACACAGCCTGTGCACTGACCAACCAGGGATAGTTTTGGGTATTTCCTCATTCTTTGGGGAGAAACTCCTATTTGTTTAATGGAATCTATCACTCGAGAACATTTCTGTACCTTTCTGAAGCTGGTACAGGGAGAGAGGAAGTATAAAACTTAAAGCCAGCTAAAAAAATCATTCTGCTGTTTGACAAGCTGAAGCATTGGCAGCCATTTTAATCCTGTAAAGCCAGGTAAGCAGAGATATTTTCTTAATTCAGCTTCACATAAGGTCATGTATTGAGAACCCTATGAAAAAGCTTGATTTTGTAGCCATTTGATTTAAGACAGACACAGCCTTACTCAATGAAATTGAAGGAAATGGGTTTGTTTCTTGTTTGAGATTGACAAGATGTTCGCGTCTCTCTGATATGGCTTCTCTTCTGGAACTTGATCACATTCAAATAAGCTACATTGATTTCAGTGGGGGAAGCACCCACTGAACTTGACTGTCAATGCTTAAGATGATTCTCTTTGCAGTCTGAAGGAATAGACACTTCAAAGCTGGAGCACCAGATCCTCATCGGGTGTAAGTCATTTTAGCCCCACTGAATTTGATGTAGCTTTACATCAGCCAATGATCTGGCACTATTGGTATATCTGAAAGTTGCAGAGGGGAGTATGAGACAGCCCTACATACCCACATTTCTATAAAAGTTAGGTTAAGCTATATCTGCTTATTTTGAGAAAATGTGCAACGGACAAGGGTAGGCATGCACAGGAAGTGAGTTAAAATGCAAAATAAATGCAGATGGGCCAAAGTTAATTTAAAAAAAGCAAATACACAACGCTGACAAATTAAAAATGACACAAGAAAAATCTCTACATCCATTTCCCCTCCCTCTTCAACCTCATTTGTTTTTTCTCTTTGAGTCTGGAGTTCTCTTCATAAATGACTGTAAAATGCCCTGCCCAAAATTGGGCAGTATCTAAATACTACGTAATGATAACAAGAATTACCTTTGATAAACATGTATTTCTAAAAATGTTTAATTATAGATAACTTGTTTAAAAGCTGAAATACTGTATGTAATGCTAGTAAAATGCTCAGAAGCTATGGTATATAAATGCTAAGTTTTGTTTTTAAATTTGTGGCAGTGGAGAACAATGCAAATTACACTCTGAGAAAAAGACTGGCAATCTCTACTATGTGATAGCAATATCCTGCATCTAAGGAATCCCCCCACTTACCATGTTCAAACTTCCTATCATGCACAACTGGTCTTTTCTTCTTTCTTAACTTGTTACCTGACTTCTCTTCTCTGCCAGTAATGCCTAGCTTCATCCATTAACTTGTCTGCTCCTCCCTCCAAACTTTCTGCTTTCTTCCACATTGCCCCTTATGCATGGGACACCCTCCCTAGAATGAACTCTAAAGCTATTACCCATTCCTTCTTCAGATCCCTTCTTAAGACCCACTTCTGCCACAATACCAATGAAAAATCAGCCAATGCTAAATGGAGGGGCATTCCAGGCATGCAGCTGTGGGGCGAATGGGAAATTTAGATAGTGACTTTTTTGTTATTCAAAAAATATATGACTGTATAAAACTGCATATAGTTTGATAAGTTTCCCCTCCCCTACGCTTTATAAATTGTTCTTCTTTTTAGATTACAAACTTTTTAACAGTCTGCCTGCCTGTAACTCCTTCTATTTTTATATAGTGTTTCACACTATGGAATCTTGATCGTTTTAGTCACTATGGCAAAATGAATATTTTTAATAGTAGTTAGAATAATTGTGGGCTTCTACTTAGATATTAATAGCACAATCCAAGTAAATAAATAAAAACCCCATTCCCAATCATCTTAAATTTCTAATCTCATTTGCGGATCAGGTTCCAGTATCAATCAGACCTCCTTCCTTTGGGTGTTGATAACATCAATAAGTTTGGTATTAAACCTCTAAATCTGTCTCTGTTCTTTACTAAATATTTTAGCAGCAATCTGACATCTGTGGGTTGTGTATATAGTGCTCTAACCCAACAGGGAAATGTTGTCCAAAGATTTAATTCTGATTGAAGCAGATGATGAAGAAGCACCCCACACTGAAATGCAATCAGTCTATCTTCTCTCCAGTACTCAACTGGGTTGTATAATAGTCCTTTCACAGAGGGGATAATATAAAGAAATTTCTGTGGCAGGAACATCATGGAATTTCCTTTTCCCTTCCCTTAGTCCCTTTCGCTACGTCTAGACTACATCCCTCTGTTGGCAGAGGGATGTAAATGAAGCACTTTGAAAGTGCAAATGAAGCCAGGATTTAAATATCCTGTACTTCATTTGCATAATCACGTAATGGCGCTCTTTTGAAATTTTGAAATTGAAACCAGTCTAGACATGGTTCTTTTGAAAATGAGGCACTTTTTCGAAAGATCCTGTAAACCTCAAATGGTAAATGAGGTTTACAGGATCTTTCAAAAAAGCGCCCCATTTTCAAAAGAACTGAGTCTAGACTGTGGTTTCAATTTTGAGATGGAACTCTTTCGAAAAAGCTCTATTACATGATTATGCAAATGAAACATGGGATATTTAAATCCCGGCTTCATTTGCACTTTCAAAGTGCTTCATTTACATCTCTCTGCCGGCAGAGGAATGTAGTCTAGACATAGCCTTTCTGAGGGTTTCATCCTGAGAGGATGCTGTCTTAGCTGGCATAGGGTGCCTTTCATTTTTAGGTAAAAGGAGTGAATCCAACACACATCCACAGTGACCAAAAGTTACCTTTCAGTATTCTATGTGAGAAGGACTGGAACTATGATTTCACTTTTTACTGGACAGATTTCGATTTGTAAACCCCTCAGTCACTATTGGTGTTATCTTGAATTGTTGTAATAGCTGTGTGGTTCCCAGGGCATTAGAGAGACAAGTCAGGTTAATATTTCAAAATACAAAATATTAAATAAAGAATTTGTGATGGGTTTGATCACAGGGATCACTTGGGGCTGTCATCCGGTGTGCTTGCTATGCTACTGAGCCTGCCAACCTGCCCTCTTGGTCGCCCCAGCACCCTGTTCTGCTGGGCCAGAAGCTCTGGTCTCCCACGGACAAGGCCCAGAATTGGGGTAGCAGCCACCAACAGAGCTACACAGACACTGAACCAGCTCAGCTCTGGGAGGGCTTGACTATAAGGCTACTGAGAACACCCAAGAACACAGCCCTTAAGAGGACCAATATCCCAAATAAATCCATCTTACTCTGTATAAAAGTTATACATAAAGAACACTTATATATTCACCCTCATTATTAATGAAACAGAGATATGCACAGTGGTGCTTCTCTCTTCCTCCCCCCATTTGAGAGCACAGTGATCTGATTTCATCCATTCCACTGTAATTGGGGCATTAAGTGCACTGAATAAGATATGCTACATTTTGTAAAGATAAGCTTTTGAGCTTACATGAAGCTCTTCTTCAGGTCACAACCCCCAACCCTTGCTAAACTGGTCATCACAAGCAAGCTTCCCACAAGTCTAACCCACCAACTCAAAGTGGCTCCAAACCCTTCCAAATGCAAAACCTACAGACACATTTCTATGACGATCCACACTCCCACAACACACCATTCAAGAACCATGGGTCCAGTGCAAAAGGCATCACCTCACCCACTCTGTACTTTTATTTGTTTATTTTTATAGTCTGAGTGGAAATAAATGGACATGAAGCCTATATCTTGCTCTTCCTCTGAGGCCTTGTCTTTCTTGAAAACTTGCAAGGCTCAAGGGTCTCTCAAATGGTCTCTCTGGGTACATTTAGATGGCAGAGCTTCTAAACTTGCAAGGCTCAAGGATAGAAAAGGAAAGCAGTGATTTACATGGTGGGCTTACCCAAGTTTCAAGCAAGTGTAAGTGGCACTGGTGCAAACTGAGGCTTTCCTCATCTAATTGCAAAGTAAGACTCTTGCAGTTACATCAGTGGCTGTCCCTGGGTTGTTGACATCAGGGGAAATTCTCAATGTAAACAAGACCTAGCAGTTTGGGGAAGCTTTACTGTTGTTGATGTTGCAAAATGTGTGCTACAGGAAAACAGTGGCCTCTGATCACTTAACTATGGAGTAAAGGTTCACTGTTGAGTATGAGATCCCAGACATCTTTTTAGTATAGAATGGGTTATAGTAGCCGAAAAGCTTGACAGCCAGAAAATATAGGGCCTCTACTTTTCCTAATACATCAGTCTTTGCATATTTCTGAGGATGAGATGACATGCCCCGGAGGGTATGTCTACACTGCAGAGTTTTTTCAGAAAAACAGCTGCACCTGAGGTGGCACTTTCAGCCACCCCCCACACCACTCCCAGCCCAGAGACACCCCCCTCCCTTCAGGGTATGAGCCTCCCTCCCCCCTCCAGGGTATGAGCCCACCCCCCAGCTTTCAGCCACCCCCCACACCACTCCCAGCCCAGAGACACCCCCCTCCCTTCAGGGTATGAGCCTCCCTCCCCCCTCCAGGGTATGAGCCCACCCCCCAGCTTTCAGCCACCCCCCACACCACTCCCAGCCCAGAGACACCCCCCTCCCTTCAGGGTATGAGCCTCCCTCCCCCCTCCAGGGTATGAGCCCACCCCCCAGCTTTCAGCCACCCCCCACACCACTCCCAGCCCAGAGACACCCCCCTCCCTTCAGGGTATGAGCCTCCCTCCCCCCTCCAGGGTATGAGCCCACCCCCCAGCTTTTATTAATGAAAGATAAATACAAAGTTTGTTCTGTTGAAATCCAAACAGGTGTCTTTATTCAGACTTCAGGGAAGGGGGGAAGGGAGGGGTTTTGGTGGGAAAGGGCTATTGGAGCAAGGCCCAGGCCCCTAGTGGGGAGGCCCTGGGGAGAATTAGTGGGGTCCTTGAGAGAAACTCTCCCTCAGGGCCTCCTGGATGCGCACCCCCAACTGATGGGTCTGGCAGATGGCAGCTGTCCACGGCTGCTCAAAGGGTTTCACTTCGTGGCCAACCTCTGCCCTCCACCCCAGTAGGAAGGCCTCTCCCTTCCTCTCCACAATGTTGTGGAGGACACAACATGCTGAGATGACCTTGGAGATGTTGCCTCCTGACCCACCTGGACTTGGGGGAGCACATCTGAAACATGCCTTGAGGTGGCCGAAGGAGTACTCCATCTTCAACCTCGCCTGGCTGAGGTGGGAGTTAAATTGCCCACTGCTGGGGTCCAGGTGGCCAGTATACGGCTTCATCAGCCACAGCATCCGA